TTTTTTTTTTTTTTTTTTTTTTTTGTTTTTCTTTTTCATTTTTTTTTTGTTTTTTTGTTTTTTTTTTTTTTTTTTTTCTTTTTTTTTTTTTTGTTTTTTTTTTTTTTCTTTTTTTCGTTTGTTTTTGTTTTTTTTTTTTTATTTCTTTTTTTTGTTTGCGAGTCGGTCCGGCCAAGGACTGCAACGACGACGGCCCGCGGACGGACGTGGAGGCGGTCGGCTTGGGGCTGGTCTTCTCAATCCCGGATGGCGCTTTCTCGGCCCCGAGCCCGGAGCTGCTCGACGAGTTCGTGGGGGCGCAGCCACCTGCCATCGGCTAGCGCTCCGGTGCAGCGCTGCGGCTCTCGGACCACGGCGACGGCACGAACGGCCGGGGGGGCGTCTTGAGCCCAGCGTCCGCCATAGCGCTCAGCAAGGACCGCAGTCGCCATCGCCTCGCCAAGCGGGCGCGGCCCAGGAGCCGCAGCACTACCCGGGCGAGGCGAGAGACACGGGCGGACTTCGACGCGGAGCTGAGGAGGGCTCAGGAGCAGGATGAGGAGCAGCGGAGCCAGGACCCGAGGTCGATGCTCATCTCGGCCTACCTCACCGAGCGCGCGGACGGGCTCACAGATGGAGCGGCCAGAGGGGCCATCTCGTCTGAGAGCGGCACGGGCAGGCACGAGTTGCTCGCGGAGCTCATCGAGGCAGCCGACGCGACGCACAGGAGAGGCGTCAGCGAGGTGGGCGCCAGTCTCCTTAGAGGATGCCGCGAGGTGTGGAGCAAGGAGCTCGAGGGAGGAGAAGGATGCCAAGCCCCGGGTGGGACGGAGGGCCCCTCCGCGCCGCCACCGGCCTACGCGCCCTACGACGGTCGCGAAGCGGCTGTCGGGGGGCAGAGGGCAGCGGTGCCGCCTCGGCCCCCAGGGGGCGGGCAGGTGGGTCCAACGGCCCCGCCGAGGCCGCCCCCAGCAGGGCCCCCGCCGGGCCTGGGCTTCCTAAGCTTCGGTCAGAGGCCGCCCCCGCGGCAGGAGGCGCAGGCCAGCTTCAACTCGAGCGCGTTCTACGGAACAGGAGGGGCCAGCTTGACTACGCCTTGGACCGCCAGACCGCCCCAGCTGCTCTCCTTCGTGGAGCGGGCCACGCGGGTCGAGGGGCGGCGCGGGGGGCGGGGGGTGGGGGGCAGGGGCCCGCCTTGCGCGCGCCCTTCAAAACCCAATGAGGGCCTCGGGCCTTTCACGCGCCATCGGTTCCAGCCCGTTCCAGCGCCTGGGTCTGGAGCCGAGGATGTTTAGATCCATGTGACATGGATTAGGAATGTCAGGGCCCCGAGCGGGCGGGGGGGGGGGGCGCCGCGCCCCCGGGGCCGCCTGGTGGGCGCGCGCGGGGCCCCGGGCCCCGGGCGCGCATGGGCCAGATCTTATTTCGCGTTATTTGTTTGATTCGGGTGTTCTTGAAATGGCCAGGGCACTGCGCTGGGTCTGGGCCCCGCCGGGGCCTCGAGAGGGCCCCCGCCCTCCGCCGTGGCGACTCCTTGAGTCGAGTGGCATCGTGCTTGAGGCCGCCGAGGTGATGTTACCCCCCCGCGATCGGCCGCTGGTCTCTCAGGCCAGGCTAATTCGAGAAAGCTCGGCCGCTTGATGCGACGACGAAAGGAGGGGGGGGGATGGGGGGGGGGCCGAAAAGAGAAGGAGTAGGAGAGGTGGCGGAGGGGGCGGAGGAGGCGGGGGGGGCGGAGGAGGAGGAGGAGGAGGAGGAGGAGGAGGAGGAGGAGGAGGAGGAGGGGGAGGAGCAGCAGGAGCAGGGGGGGACGAGGAGGGCGAGGACGAGGAGGCCCGGCCCGCTGCCACAGGAGGCGGGCGCCCCTTGTTCGACGACGGCGCGGGCGCGGGCGCGGTCGCCCGCGCCCGCCCTCTCCTCGGACGAGGAGATGGCCTCGGCGGCGGCGGCCCCCCCCTGGCAGCAGCAGAAGGTCTCGAGGGTCGCCAGGTCGCCCCCCTTCACGCGGGCGCGCTGGTCGGCCCGTCGCGCCAGGAGAGAAAAGATACATGGGGGGATCCACGGGGCAGGGGGGCAGGGCGGCAGGCAGGGGGGCGCGGCGCGGCCTCAGGGGTGCCCAGCCTAAATTCGCTTCTGGGCGCCCCGACGCCAGGCCAGGCCAGGCCCATGCAAGGGCCCCCTTCGGCCGCAGCCTTTCGCAGACCGGCAGGGGCCCCCGCGGGGCCCCGCCGCGGCCCGCGGCCTGCCGTCGATCGTCGGGGGCGCGAGTCCGAGTCGGAGTGCGAGATTTCCACGGGCCCAGAGTCCGATTTGAATCCCAAGTCTTGGCCCAGGAGTCCTGAGCCTGAGCTCGAGCTGAGCAGTAGATCCGCGCGAGCCCTGGTGGGGGCGCGCTCGAGCGTCAGCGGCAGTCGACTGCAGCGCCGGCGGCGATTTGCAATCTCATCGGTCGTCGTTCGACCTCGCCCTCGTTTCCATACTCGCCCGTGTCCTTCCCCCTATTGCCTCGAGGGCCTCGCCTCGTCGCCCCCCGCTGCTTTTCGTCTTCGCGCCGGCGCCCCCAATGCTCGACGGCCTGGGTCCCAGGCGCCCCCGGGGAGACGGAGACGCCCTGCGCGATTTCGCCCGCCGCCGCCGCCTTCTCTGGCGCCCCGAGCTCCGATGGCCGAAGGCTTCTGCCAACTCCTTCAGGCCCAGCCCCCAACTCCTTCAGGCCCTGTCCCCAGCCATTCGCGGAGATGTTCTTCGGGCCCGACAGTTCGAGACTCTGGAGGCGTGCGGCTGACGCAGTCCGACCGCAGGGCCGCGGCCCCGCCCGAGTTTCGCCCGCTCGCGGGCTGTTCGGCACCGCTCTGCCCCCGGGCTGCCCGGGCCGGCCTCGACGAGACCCCCCCCGCGGGGCCGCCGGGCATGGCCCGCCTGGAGATCCGAAGTCTCGAGAGCGAGAGCGAGAGCGAGAGGGGGGCAGAGCGCGCGCGCGCGCGACATGGCAGCGCATCGAGCCAGCGACATTAGAGGCGAAGGATTCCTCCGGGAGGAGGGGGGGCGACGGGGGGGGGGGGCGTTGAGGGATCAGAGGATAGATGAGAAAAGAGAGATATATATATATAGAGAGAGAGAGAGAGACGAGAGAGACGGAGAGAACGAGGAGAGAGGAGAGAGAGAGAGAGAGAGAGAGAGACGGAGAGAGAGAGAGAAGAGAGATGAGAGAGAAACAAAAAAGAGAGAGAGAGAGAGAGAGAGAGAGAGAAAGAGATAAGAGAAAGAGAAAGATGGGGGAAAGAGAAAAGAAAGAGAAAAAGCAGAGAGAGAGAGAGAGGAGAGGAAAGAGAGAGGGAGAGAGAGAGAGAGAACAAAAAAAAAAACACGAGAGAGAGAGAGAGAGAGAGAGAGAGAAAGAAAGATAATGATACGTATATTTCTATATAGATAGATAGATAGATATATATTTATAGAGAGAGAGAGAGAGAGAGACGGAGAGAGAGAGAGATTAATAGAGAGAGAGAGGAGAAACAAACATAAAGAGAGAGAGAGAGAGAGAGACGGAGAGATATAGAGAGAGAGAGAGAAGAGAGAGAGAGAGAGAGAGAGAGAGAGAGAGAGAGAGAGAGGGAGAGAAAGGGATAACAACAAAAAAGCACAAGAAATTAACATAATATATATATAGAGAGAGAGAGAAACAACACAAAATAATGAGTCATACTTTGCGCAAGGAGAACGCAGCGACGCGGGCGGATCCCAGTTTCACGCGTGGCCCCCCCCCCAAAAAAATCGACGCCGAGCGAGTAGAGACGCGGAGAGAAGCGAGGAGGAGAGAAGGGGGGCCCATTCGAAGAAGCCCGAGGTCTAGCGGACTTGGGAGGGCGCGCCTGGGCAGTTGCGAAGCTTGCAAAGTGAGCAACGTCACAGAGCTATCGGGGGCCCTGGGCCCGCCCGCCCCTGCCGTCTTGGCCGGGAAGTCTCACGCCGCGCGTTCAACCGCCATCCGCCTCTTGCTGCGGCTGCCGCGCCCGCGCCCGGCAAACTTCTCCCCGGCCGTTCTGGCGCCGGCACCGGCGCGCAGCGCCGCGGCGGGCGACTGCGATTTCGCGCTCGACATTGGCAACGGAGCTCCCGCGCCAGCAGTTCGGCCGCCGCGGCCGCCGGGAGATCGCCCAGGCGCTCCGATGGGGGCCGGAGACGTGCATCGCGCGCTCGCGGCCTCGCATGAACGACAGGACACGGTTCTGCGCGGCTCATGCTTACACTGAGCCATCGTTCAAAGCGACGCTCGTCGTTGACGAGGAGCTTTGGCCTGGCCGCCTGGCCCGGCCTGGCCATAAAATGGGATGGGGGTTCGTCTTTGTGGAGTTCGGCGCTGCCCCCTTCGCGCCCCTCGGCCCCCCCCCCCCCTTCTTCCGACTGCCAGCTGCTGACTCGCTGACTGCTATGTTGCGCCATATTTTCCTTAGTAACAATAGTCATGCATTGCTCTTTGCTCCTTCGAGCATCGAACCGGCAGCCCGCTCGAATCCTCTCAGGGCGCGAATTTCCTACCCCGCTTTCGCTTCCAGGCAGAACCAAGTCACGCCGCGCGCCCCCTCGTCAAGCGGCCTGACCAGTACAGGCCGCAGTTTTGCACCGCTTGGTATCTCTTGGAAGCGAGGGTGGTCAAACGCGAGGTAGGTTTGTTGCCCCCTTATCCTCGCGGCTTCCGGCGGGCCTCTCCAGCCGACCCGAACAGCGATCAGTCGTCGACGTCGCCGAGAGCGGGGTCCGCTCGCGGACCCCGGCGCGCCCCGAACCTCTAGGCGACCCATGCATCGCCCAATCCTTCGGATTCTGGGTAGCTTTCGGCGCTTGGCCTTCAGCGCCCTGAGAGCGCGCCCCCCCCAGCCCCCTCCCAGAGAGCAGCGCGGAACGCGATGCGAGCGGAGGTCGTCGAGCTTCGCCCGCTGGAATTGCCGCGAGCCCCACGAGACCCACCCCGGCGAAAATCCCGCCCCCCAGGGCCCGGGGCCCCGCGGCGCGCGCTGCAGCGCATGGACATGCGCGCCCGCCTCTTCAAGGCCCCGCCGCTCCGCTTTCAACGCCGCCCGCGCCCCTCGAGTCAGAGCTCGCGAGGCTCGCGTTGGAGTCCGAGTCAAAAAGGGCTCCGAGTCGAACTCAGAACTGGCGACGTTCAAGTTGGATTCTGAGTCAGAGTCGCCGCCATCAGCAGAGTTACGGGATCGCACGTCACAGATACAGGCCCCCGTTGAGTTGCAGGGGGGGCTCGCATTTGGGGCGCGGCCTTAGCCCGGGCCGGGGTCGAAGTTGCCGATTGCGACGACGAGGCGCGACGCCGCCCCTCTCAGCCTGCTGCCCGTTGCTCGTTTTTGCCCCCCCTTTCCCGCGGTGCTACAGCGCCCCACCATCGGTCATTCAGGTGAGACGTTGAAGCGAGGGGGGGGGGGGGCAGCCTTGGCCCTCCAGGACAGGAGAAGCGCGCCAGGAGGCCATTCGGGATTCACCACTTGTCACTTAGTGTGCCGTTCTACTCCATCCGAGCTACTCTCGCCCTGCGCGCATCATATCGCGGGCCCGATTCTATCGGCCCGGTTCTAACCTATATCATCGCGGGCCTGATTTTTCGGGCGGGGGGGGGGGGGCGCGCAGAGCGGCGAACCGCGGTCTGGCTCGCCGTCTGCGCGTCGCCAGAACGGCGGACTAGAATCTAGCTCGTCATCCAGGTGCCCCCGAAAGGCCGCCAGAACGGCAATCTAACATTTAGTTCGTCATTCTGGCGCCCCGAGTGCGCCCGCAGAACGGCAAACTAGATTCCTCAGGGGCCCTGAGGAATGCTGGAGGATTCCTTGGGACATCATGCCGAATCCTTCGGAATTCCCACCCGACAGCTCAGGCCACCCTACCAGACCACCACCCTACCAGGCCTACCAGACCTACCCTGCCAGACAGCTCACCGACCTACCAGACTGCTCAGGCGAACGAGGCATGACCCTTCGCGGCCGCCAACCTTGCAAGACATATTCGGCCAGGTACACAACCAGGCAGCTCACCCTTCCGCACCCAGGGTGATTCAAGCCAGTTGGGCCTAAGCAGGCCCCGCAGCCCAGTCAGTTCATTCTAGTGGGCGTGTTTCCAGGGCCTGCAGCCTGCGCGCAAGTCTGTCCGCCTCGCAGCCTCGCCCCGCATCGGACGCTGCAGGAGAAGCAGGGGCGCGAGCGCTCGCGCCCCCGCGGGCGGGAGGCCCCTCAGCTGGAGCTGCAGGGGCCCGAGGTCCGCGCCAGCGAGCTCGGCAGGCGGCTCGCGGCCTTCCAGGCGCGCGATCATGCCGCGGCCGTCGACGTCGACATGGGCGCGCGCGCCCTCGGGGGCAAAGTCGAGGCGCTGCGGGCCTCGGCGGCTGAGGCGCGGAACTTGGCCGCTCAGGCCGAGGGGGCGGCGCGGGGCGCCCACGGGGGTCGCGGGCGAGCACTTCAGGGGGGCGCGCGACCTTCATTCAGGCGCGCCAGGGTTCAACACAGCGCGGCAGGTGTGCCAGGATGAGGACATTCAGTTCCGGGACCCCGTCTTCGTCGAGGTCGCCCAGCGGGCTGGCGCTCGAGGGCAGCGCACTTCCAGCTGACTTTCGGCGCTCCCCCACGGGGGCCCGCCAGCGCCAGGCAGAAAACGAATAGTCATCGTCGCCGGCCCACCTTGCCGGACAGATGAGGTATTGAGCGGCCCTGCCAGACAGCCCACCCTTCCAGACAGCTCATCCTCAGGCAGCCCCCCTACTATACCTGCCAGACAGCTTAGCTACCCCACCAGACAGCCCACCCGACCAGAGCGAAATAGACAGAGACCGGACAAGTAGCCGGACCAAGGCCCGTCCGTCCTCGGGGCGCACTGCGGTGCGACAACCCGAAAAACACTGTTAGCGGCGGTGCAGCCTTAAGATACGAGGGCGGGCGACAGGCCCCCTCCCCCGGCGCAGTGCGTCTGAAGCAAAAGACGGCGGACAGACCGTGAAGATCTCACCTGTCAGACCGCGTGAAGAAGAAGGCCCCAACGCGAGTGGCGACGTGAAGAACGTGGCTAAGGCGGCTTGGCGGACCGCCGGTTGGGCGCTTGGCCGCTGCGCGGCGCGCAGAGACGGGGCACCCCCCGCCCCCGCGCCCAGGCCCCGTGGACGCGGTGCCTCGCGGGCGCACGGGCTGGCGAAAAGAGAAAAGGGGCACCAGCTGGGAGCCGTATGGCCCAGCACAGTGCGCACAGGCCGAGAACCCCAACAGGAGCGGCAAAAGCTAGCCGACAGCACAACGTCACCAGCCGCTGCCAGCTAACCTTTAGCCCCCATTGGCGGACCTCGAAAGTGACAGAGTCCGCGGCCAGGCGGCGGACGGCAGAGGGGCGCCAGACGCGCTGAGGAAAAGGTGCACATGCTGGGAGCCGAATGGCCCAGCATGCGCACAGGCAGAGACAGTGCAAGGGTGCAGAGGAGGCCCTCACCGCGGATGCACCCGCTACGACATGGCGGACATGACATGGCGTGATGGCACGGGTGCGTGGGGCGGGGCTGAAGCCGCCACCCCCGCCAGCAGGCACGGCACACCAGGGAACAGCGCCCGGGTGAGCAAGGCAGGACGCGCACATGCGGCGAGGGCGAGGCCGTACCACGCTGGTCAGGATGAGGGCAAAGTGAATGAGAAGCCCCAGCGTACTTCAAAAGCGACGGACCACGTAAGAAACTGAAGAAGGAAATCAGTATCAGTGCGCAGACGCTTGAGAGTGGCGCGGTGGATGAGGCCTGCTGTGCGGCCGTGCGGGAGGCCGAGGGCCGCGTCCACGCAGGTTAGGAGCATGTCCGAACTGCGGGCCAGAGTCGTGGTGGAGGTAGTGGTCGTCGGCGCCGTCGTCGCGTGAGTCTCGGAGTCCGACTTCACAGTCAGCTGTGCGTTCAGTCTGGGCGCGGCTGCCTGGTGGGACGGTCAGCGCAGGTGGCCTGCAGGGTACTGCTGCCGTGACGTCAGGGCGCTGTGCTGCTGAGGTACGGTGGCGTGGGTCCACTGCTGGGCCGGGCTGGGGTCCCTGAGTTTGGGCCTTGGTCTGTGCGCCCGTACTGGGGGACGGCATCTCGGCGCGGAGCGCAGGTGCAGGGACGGTCAGACTGGAGCAGCTCAGGTGGGCGGTGCCCCCAGACGACAGCGTGACGGTCCAGTGGCCGGGGTGCTCGCTGGACTGCCCCCGTACGATACCTCGGAGGCCGTTGATGGGGTTGTGGACTTGACCCTGGACGATGACCGCTGTGCCCGCGTGGAGCCGTGGTGGGATCCAAGCGGCCAAACGGCAGTTTACGGCTCGGAGGTGACCGATGGTGGCTGGTTGCGGTCCGAGGAAGCGCTCGAAGTGCTCCCGTACAGTCACAGTGCTAGTGCTGGCAGTGCTGGTGCTAACACGCGAGGTTGCGAGGGAGCCAGGACCCAGGGCAGGCGTGTGAGCATGCGAGACGGCCGAGGCTGGCCCCGCTGCCGTGCTACCAGGTTGTGGCGGGGAGGTCACCCCAGGGCTCGAGGCAGCGTGGGGACCGATGACAGGAATGGCAGGCGTGGTGCCATGCGGGGGGGCTGAAGCCGCCCCCGCTGGCGTGCTACCAGGTTTTGGCGGGGGGGTCGACTCGAGGCTTGAGGCAGTGTGGGGGCCGATGACAGGAATGGCAGGCGTGGTGCCATGCGGGGGGGCTGAAGCCGCCCCCGCTGGCGTGCTACCAGGTTTTGGCAGGGAGGTCGGCTCGAGGCTCGAGGCAGTGTGGGGGCTGATGCCAGGGCGGCCTTGGGCGGCCGTCTGGTGGCCTAGAGGGCGTCTGCGGTCGACGTCGCCGCCGCGCTGTCGGCGTCGCCGCCGCGCTGTAGCTGCGCTCCGTCGCCGCCACTCGTCGCGGAAGCCGATGAAGAAGTAGTGCGTGACGTACGTGGCGCACAGGGTGGCCCACGTGGACGGTGACACCACGTTGTGCCACTCGATGACCTCCAACCACACACGCTCCACGAACACTGCCGTGTAGGCCGACGTGGGTGCCACCTTTGGTGCCGCCGCGGACGACTCAGGGCGTGCTGAATCTGGCAGGGTTGGCGTGAGAGTTGTCGTCGGCGATGGCGTCTCGGCTGCGCTCGGTGCCGGCGTTGGTGCTGGTGTCAACACCAGGCGTTGTACTGAAGGCGATGACGTCGCAACCACTGGCACACGCTGCCAGGGCGAAGGGCGTCTGCCGACGTGCCGAGCTGACTCGTCGCGGTGCCACGTGGCTTGTGGTGATGACCGCTCCACGGGAGGCCGACGTGGGTGGGGCGCCGCTCAGAATCTGGCAGGGTTGGCGTGAGAGTTGTCGTCGGCGATGACGTCTCGGCTGCGCTCGGTGCCGGCGTTGGTGCTGGTGTCAACGTTGGTGCCCGCGTAGGCGTGGGCGTGGGTGCTGCCGCTGGCAGTGCTGGTGTCGAAGCTATGGGCGATGTTGCCATGGATGCGAGCGTCGATGCAGACGGCGGAGTTGGCGCTGGCTGCAACTCTGGCGTGGGTACCGGCGTAGGCGCGGGCGTGGGTCGCTGGCGGTGCTGGCGTCGGAGCTGTCGTCGGTGCTGGCCTCACTGTTGACGTCGGGGTGGGTGTCGGGTCTGACGTCGCTGCTGCCTGTGACTCTGGCTTTGGTGCCGGCGTGGTGGGGCGGCCGCTGGCGCTGGAGGTGCTGGTGTCAGAGCTGTCGTCAGTGCTGGCGTCGGTGCGGGCGTCGACAGGGACGTTGGTGCTGCCTTCGGCTCTGACGTCGCCGTCCAGGGGGCAGGCGTGGATGCTGACACTGCCGATGCTGGCGTCGGAGCTGCTGTCATTGGTGCTGACGTCTCGGCTGCACTCGGGGCCGGCGCTGTCGCTGGTGTCGGAGCTGCGTGCGGGTCTGGCGTTGGTGGCGCCGTAGTCGTGGGCGTAGGTGCTAACATCGACGATGATGCCGCCGGTGAGTCTGACATGGCTGCCGCCGTGGGCGGCCGCCCGAAAACTGGCACTGCCGATGCGGCCGTCACAGCTGCCGTCCGTGCTGTCGTCGATGTTGTCGTCGATGCAGACAGTGCCGCAGACGATGAAATCGACGAGGCAACGTGTCATGACATGACATGGCGGTCCCACTAGCGTAGGGTGCGCCTGAAGACGGCACCCGCGCCAGCGGCCCTGGGCGAGGCGTCAGGACAGTGAATGGCTGAGGGCTCGTCGAGGCAGGCGTCGATGCGGTCGTCGGTGCTGACGTCGCTGTTGGGGTCGATGCGGGCCGTGGCGCAGGCGTAGGTGTCGACGTGGCGGACATGATACGGCGTGGCATGGCGGCCCCAATAGCCGTGGGTGTGCCTGATGGCGTCGATCTCGTCGTCGATGCCGCCGTCGGTGCCGACGATGCTGAGGCCGACCCTGTCGTCAATGCTGGCGTCGGTGCGGACGTGAGCGCGGGGGCCACGGCCGTGTGTGCCGCCGTGGATGCAGTCATGGGTGCTGTCGTGGATACCGCTGTGGAGGCCGTCTGGGGTGCTGCCGTAGATGCCGACGTCGGAGCTGGCGTCGGAGCTGGCTGCAGCTCTGGTATGGGTACCGGCGCAGGTGTGGGTGCAGACGCTGGCGGTGCTGGCGTAGGAGCTGTCGTCGGTACTGGCCTCGATGCCGACGTCGAACCTGGCGTCGATGCTGGCTGCAACTCTGACGTGGGTGCCGGCGTAGGCGCAGGCGGTGCTGGCCTCGATGTCGACGACGACGCAGCCACGGGCAACCAGTGAACGTCACCATCGTCGTCGTAACCGTCCCCATCACCGTCGAAGATGAGTGCAGACGTCGGAGCTGGCGTCGGAGCTGGCTGCAGCTCTGGCGCGGGTACCGGCGCAGGCGCAGGCGTGGGTGTTGACGCTGGTGGTGTTGGCGTAGGAGCTGTCGTCGGTACTGGCCTCGATGCAGACGTCTGCGCTGGCGTCGAGGCTGGTTGCAACTCTGGCGTGGGTATCGGCGTAGGCGCAGGCGTGGGTGCTACCGCTGGCAGTGGTGTCGTAGGAACTGTCGTTAGTACTGGCCTCGACGGAGACGTCGGGGCTGGCGTCGGTTCTGGCTGCAACTCTGGCGTGGGTAGCGGCATGGGTGCAGGCGTGGGTGTTGACGCTGGCTGTGCTGGCGTAGGAGCTGCACGGAAAAGGCCATAACCTGAGTTTGGTCCCGAAATTCTGGGTTTCGGACCAAAAGTCTGGTACTGGACCCCACGGGGTCCTCCTGGCGCAGACGTCGGAGCTGGCGTCGCTGCTGGCTGCAACTCTGACGTGGGTAGCGGCGTAGGCGCAGGCGTGGGTGCTGCCGCTGGCGGTGCTGTCGCAGGAGCTGTCGTCGGTGCTGGCCTCGATGCAGACGTCGGAGCTGGCGTCGACGCTGGCTGCAACTCTGGCGTGGATACGGGCGTAGGCGCAGGCGTAGGTGCTGACGCTGGCGGTGCTGGCGTAGGAGCTGTCGTCGGTGCTGGTCTCGATGGAGACGTCGGAGCTGGCGTCGATGCGGCCTGCAACTCTGGCGTAGGTACCGGCGTAGGCGCAGGCGTGGGTGTTGACGCTGGCGGTGCTGTCGTAGGGGCTGGCGTCGGTGCTGGCCTCGATACGGACGTCGGAGCTGGCGTCGAAGCTGGCTGCAACTCTGAGAGACGATGATGCCGAGGAGAGGTCTGTAGGTCACCAGGCTTCGGCGGGCCTGAAGGCGCCGCCGAGCGAGTGGCCATACAGGGAGCGCAGGAGTGGCTGATTGTGGTGCTGACGTCTCTTGCGGCCGTCGGAGCTGTCGCTGGCAGTACTGGCGTCGCTGCCGTCGATGCTGACGTCGGAGCCGCCGCTGGCAGTGGTGGCGTCGCTGCCGTCGATGCTACCGTCGGAGCCGGCGATGCTATCGATGCCGCCGTCGGAGTCTGTGAAACTGCGGGCGGAGCCGTCGTCGCTGCCGTCGATGCGGCCGTCGGAGCCGACGATGCTAACGATGCTGACGTCGGAGCCGGCGGTGCTAACGATGCTGCCATCGTAGCTGACGATGCTAGCGATGCTAGCGGTGCTGCCGTCGGAGCCGTCCTCGCCGCCGTCGATGCTGCCGTCGGGGTCGGCGAAACTGTGGTCGTTTCTGCCGTCGGTGGGAGCGTCGATGCTGACCTCGGCGCCGGCGCCGGTACTGCGTCGTCAAGGTCGTCGTGGTCGTCGTCGTTTCCTCCTCCTCCTGCGGGGCGGGGTGAGGGAGGGGGCGAGGATGGTGCCGAATCCGTACCCCTCGCTGGCGTCGAGGCTGACTGCAGTGCCGTCGTCAGAGCTGGCGTCGATGCTGTCTGCGGAGCTGGGGTTTGGTCCGTCGTGGACGTGGGCGTGAAGGCTGCCGAGGACGATGCTGACGTCGATGTTGACGTCGATGGGGTCATAGGCACAGACGCTGGCGTCGGCAAGGCGGACGGGTCATGGCATGACAGGACGGCCCCTCTAGCGTCAGGTGCACCTGAAGGCAGCACCCTCGCCAACGGCCCTGGGCGAGGCGTCAGGACAGAGGATGTTGAAAGGCCCGTCGAGGCTGGCGTCGATGCGGTCGGCAGTGCTGGTGGCGATGCTGAGGTCGATGCAAGGACGAGCATGACGACGGCCGAGATGGTGGCCCGTTTGGGGCGGGCCAGGCCCGCCGTGCCCTTGAAGCCGCAGGCGGAGCCGAGGACGCCGAAGAACGCGTAGCCGACCTTGACGGCCCTTGTGGGGCGGGCTGGGCCCGCCGTGCCGGCGGAGTCGACGATGTGCTTGACGACGCTCCTGGTGCCCTTGCCGATGGTACGCAAGACCGTACCGACGGTGCCGAGAGCGATGCCGAAGGTGGAGCCGAGGCCGTACCCGAAGTTCAGCAAGATAATGCCGATGAAGTTGAGAGCGGTGCCTGCGGTGCCGCGGGAGCGCTCTCGGGGGGAGGTTGGGGGCCGACTGCTTGTCACGCACGGCGCGACGACGGCAGGCGTGGGAACAGCCCGACCGCACTCAGCACCGTCACCCTCAGCAGTCGGGAGCCCGACCCCCCCCTGGATACCTGGCCGTACCGAGGTGAGCAGGTGCTGGACGGAGTCGTCTGTGTTGGCGTCGGTGCCTGGTAGGTGAGCGCGGAGGTCGGCTCGGTAGGCGCGCAGCTCGGCGCGCAGGTGGAACACGTCGTGCCCGAGTATACGTAGATCTTCGTGAAGATCCGCACGCGGCACGTGTGGGGCGTGTCCAGGTGGTACTGGGGGGTCGCGCCCGTGCAGGACGGGCACGCGGAAGACAAGGTCCTGGTGCCTATGTTCAGTAACAAGGCCAGGCAGCTCAGGTAGTACAGCATGGTGAGACGTGAAAGTGCGGTGGCGGCCTGGCGCAGCCAGGGGGGCCATGGCGGCAATCGCACTGTGGAAGTGAGGAGACGCAAATCAGTACCGCGCTGCTGGCGCGGTTCCGGTCTCGCGAGGCCTGGAGTCGGGACTCCAGAGCGGGGCGCTTCGCGTCGCGGCTACGCTATGAGTGCAGGGCACTCTCGAGCCGAGGGACGGCAGAGAGAGAGAGAGAAACAACAATATAGGGATATCGATAGATGTAACATAACAAGGTTCATAACGTGCCGTACGACGTGGCGCGGGTGCCCCGCGCACCTGCCAGAAGGATGAGGTTCCATGGCATGCGGCTGGCGCTCCAGCGAAGAAGGACGCGAATACCAAGCTGCGCTGCAAGTCGTCCCGAGCATTCGAGTGGACGGTGAGCGCGTCAATGATGCTTGTGACTAAGAGCCAGGACGCATCTCCCCCCCCGGGGCTGATGAATAAACCCCGCGGGGCGCGATGCCGAGCGCGCCAGGGGGAGGGAGGAGAGAGGAGGGGGAGGGGGGAGGAGGAAAAAGAAGAAGACGACGAAGAGGAGGAACCGTGACTCTCGGGCCCGAACGACGAAGAGAGCGGCCGCTGGAAATGGGCGCAGACAGGGCGGGGGACGGCGGCGACGACGACCGCGACAGAGGGGGGGAGGACGACTACCCGCCTTGCTCGGGTCGGACGCAGGGCTGGGGAAAGAAAGGGGGGGGGTGCAAAGCCTGCTGCGCGCAGCTGCTTTCGGTCGCCCCGCCGAAGGGCCACTCCTCGACGCATGGCCGCTTTCGGATCCAGGAGGCGCTTGGAAAATCGGCGATGTGAGTTGCTTGGCAAATCCTCCCTTTGCTGCGACTTACTTTCGTCTAGCCCGCCTTGCCCGCAGGCCCGCACCGGTTCGACAGAAAAGGGGGCGCCCTGGTTCGCCCTTGCCTCCAACCCCCCCCCCGTTGCCCCTCGTTGGCGGCTGGGCGTCGGCGCTAATCACCGGCGCCGCCCCGTTGATCTTAAACAGGCGGGCGCCACCCCGGGATTCGCCCGAGCAGGCGAAGTATTTTGTAGAACGTGCGCCCCCCGCGGATTTGTGAATCACAAGTTGCCCAGATGACTGAAGGACGTGTGTACCACCATCAGTGACGGCGACGAGCCGAGCGAATACAACTACGGGAACGCCAACGGCTCCGAGCGGGTGACGCTGCAGACCTACGTCGACAATATCAGCGAGGCCGACAAGGGGCAGGAGTTCACCAACGAGGCGGTCGACTTTGGGGTGTGGCGCGGGCGAAGCACAGTCGCTGGAGCATGGGAACCCCGCCGGCTATTTCGAGAAAAAGGCTCTGTTTCATCGCGCCCGTGGACGGTGGGACGCAGCTCTTCGCGAGCCGTGCGGATTCACGCGGGTGGTTGAACCAGCTGGACTTCCAGGCAGAGGTGACGTTCGGACGACCGTAAGGGCAAGTGCAAAATGGCTGTGAAACGCGGGCGCCCCAAGGATGGCAACTACCTACGATGGCGACGGTGCCGTGCGCTTCGACGGCGTCGACGCGCGAAGCGGAGGCCACAATCTGAAGAAAAACGGTGTGCAGGAGGCCGACAATTTGGAGTAGTTCGCTGGCCTCCTTTCGGCGGCGCTGGAGGCTCACGGGGTCGGGGTACCCACGGGGGAGCCAGGCTGGCAGCGCGCAGGTCGCCAACTTCCTCTCGACGGCGCTGGTGGCGCCAGGGATCCACAAGGCGGACCATGGCAAGCACTCTGCCGTGCGTTTGAAGACAGGGGGGGTCCTCGCGGGTATGAGGCCATCTCGGTATGGGGTATGTGGCCTCCCTCTGCCGTCCCAGGATTCGCTGTGGAAAGTCGTGGCTGCAGTGGATCGCTTGGCTGCCGGGGGGCAGGCAGGAACCAAGAGGGCGCCGCGGCGCGGCTTTGTGTCCTCTGGCTCCAAGAAGGGGTTGCGTTCCCCCTTTCACGGGACGCGATGCACGGCAGTCTATCCTCCCTAGTTCCTCCTTTTCTCTTTCTCCTCCCCCTCTTCCCTCCCTTCCTTCTCCTTCCTCCTCTCTTCTCCTCCTCCTTCCCCTTCCCTCCTTCTCTCCCTTCCTTTGGGTGGAGGGCCTGTCGAGGCAACGGCTGTCCTCCCTGGCGTTTTTCTATCCTCCTGGGCCTCCTGGAGGCCTGTCCTCGCCGCCGATCCCTGCCTTAGCCGCCCTGTTCAGTGACGGCCCCAGGGCCCAGGAACCTCCGCCTTCTCCTCCTGGCAATGAAGAGTCTTGGGAGGGCGGCCGATTTGAACACCATTGCAAGCGGTTGCACGCTTTACGATCTCTTACAACGGGGTGCTACATCCTTGTCAACGTGTTCGCTTCTAACTCCATAGCACAGCTTACCGCGTGGGGTGTGGGTCAACTTTGCATCGGCTTGCTAACGATTTTACTCAAGCGGTACTACATGTTAGGTAACTTAGCGCGCTGGTCTGACCAGGGTAGCTAACCACGCTAACCAGATCAAAGCTAGTAGGTTAGCTAACAATGTTAGTTAAGAGAGTGCGTGGCTTAGCTGAAGAGTTTCACACACTTTGAAAGTGGTTAGCCAATGCGTTGCCAGCCCAGTTCCGCACCTTACCAAGCGTTACTATACCACTAGCTGAGCTGCGCTAGCTGGGACATCAGCATATCAGCATACCAGCATCTAGACATTTACCTGCTTTGGGAATGGGCTGCCCACGCGAAGCTAAGCCGCTGACGCTTCACAAAGGTTGCACGTACGATGCCAGGCTCATCGAACGGTTGGTAGAGGTTGCCAGGGAGTTGGCAGGGGCTGCTGGAAGGGTACCCAGTCGTTACAATCATGATAGCTACTATCAGCCCAGAACCCGTCCAAGAAAACCGTTCGCCGGCGGTTCTTCCATGAGGCGAGGCAAGCTGGGGGTCAGGAGGGAAAAAAGTACACAGACACAAGTAATCGTCGATCCCCCAGAAAATATGGGAAAATATGGGAAGTGGGGGGGAATACAAAACCCAGAACATATAGGAGAATATGGGGAATCCTGTTATCTGTGTCTATTTATTTGTGTGTCCCAGGGCCCCTTTCAGGGGAGGTCACCACAGCTCCCGCTGCCCCTCCCGCCCTCTGGGTCAGTGCTGGGCCGCGGAGGTGCCCGCCGGCGGGAGTGGCTGGCGGCCGCCGGCGCGGCGGGCGTCGCCGGGCCGACGCCGGCGCGGGCGAGCGAGATCAGCGTGTTCGGTTCCGCGGCGGCCGCCGCCGGCCGGCCGCCGCCTTTGCTCGACACGATCGACATGGGTACGGAAGGAATCGTGACTCGGCAACGCGCAGAGGGGGGTGGGGGAGGGGGGAAGGCTTCTTAGAAGCACCCCTGCTTCGTAGAAGGCGCGGGCCTTCGCTATAGACGTAGGGCCGAGGCCTTCTAAGAAGCAGGGTGCTCTAAGAAGCCTTCCCCCCTCCCCCCACCCCCTTTTGCGCGCCGCCAGGTTACGCAGACCGAGAGCATGTCTGGTTCATCTTGAAGAGGACTTGGTGTCGGTGTCGCCGCGGACACTGTCCATTCGAGGCAGAAGGCCGCCTGCCCAGCCGCGGCCGCTGTCGGTTTTGGGCAAAATTTGCTTGTGGGTATTGTACCTATTCCTGGTGTTAAACATGAGCGGCATATTCATAGCCGCCGCAGTTGCAGATACGAGTGAGCTGGCAGCGTGGTCGTCGGCAGTTTGCGAGGCTCCCAAAAAGCCCGCCGCAGGCGCCGATTTTTTTTGTACCTATTACCCGACGGGCCCGGCGCCGGTTTTTCGGGACAGCAATGTGGGTCGGTCGCGGGTGGGTCGCGGGCGTTGCTGGCGGGACACGTGTGGGCTGCGGGTAGGTCGCGGGCGGGTCGCGGGTGTGTCGCGGGTGGGTTTCGAGCGAGGACGACGACAACAGAAAACAAAAAACATAATCTTTATTGCGGAGGTTCATCTGAGGCACGCACCCAGGGATGGTCTAAGACCGTTCGGCCCCTTCACTTTGACATTCTCCAAATAGGCTTGCCCTGTAGGAGTTCTAACTCAAACCTTACTAATTGGTCCGTTGCCCCCCCCAAATTCCTATGCCCCCCCCCTACGTCCTATGGCTATGCCCATGCCTATGCCTATGCTTCCCCTCGAGCTCCTGTGCCTACGCCTATGCCTATGCCTATGCCTATGCCTATGCCTATGCCTATGCCTACGCCTATGCACCACCTCTGAGCGCTCCTATGCTTATGCCTATGCTTATGCCTATGTTTCCGATGCTTGCTTGCTTGCTTGCTTGCTTGCTTGCTTGCTTGCTTGCTTGCTTGCTTGCTTGCTTGCTTGCGCGCTTGCTTGCTTGCTTGCTTGCGCGCTTGCTTGCGCGCATGCACGCTTTCTTGCTTGCTTGCTTGCGCGCTTGCGTGCACGCTTGCTTGTTTGCTGAGTTGCGGATTCCAAGCATGCTTGATTTCTCTGATTCCTTGATTTGAGTCGTCTAATCTATTTGGAGTCAACACTGGCTGATATACACAGATCCCAGACGATGCGATCCGAGATTTTCCCTCGATGCCGGCCATTTGGGGCTGTTTTCGGGACCTGGGACCACCCAACATGGATCCTGGATAAAAGAACCCCTGGGGGAAGGAGTCGGTACCTCGTGGGGCCGCGGGTTTAGACATCACGTTGTCGGGTGTCTCGGTTCAAGGACAACGACAGGGTTCAGGGGACTGGCGCAGGAGGAGGAGGAGGAGGAGGAGGAGGAGGAGGAGGAGGAGGAGGATGAGGAGGAGGAGGAGGGAGGAGGAAGGAGGGAGGAGGGAGGAGGGAGGAGGGAGGAGGGAGGAGGAGGAGGGAGGAGGGAGGAGGGAGGAGGGAGGAGGAGGAGAGGAGGAGGAGGAGGGAGGAGGGAGGAGGGAGGAGGAGGAGGAGGAGGGAGGAGGGAGGAGGGAGGAGGGAGGAGGGAGGAGGAGGAGGAGGAGGAGGAGGAGGAGGAGGGTTCAGGGTACTGGCCCAGCGGGGGCATCGACCCCCAATCGCCCGTTCATCGCCAATCGGGGCCTGTGCCCCGCACCCCGCCCAGGAAAGAGGCCGGGGCGGCAGGGTCACAGCCGTGCGGGGGGAGTGTGCTTCCGACTTGACGCCTGACTTTTTATTGAGTTGCGGAGGGTTTGACGCACTGGGAAGCGAGGGGCAAGAGGTGTAAGATGTCAGATGGTAGGCATGTGGCGGGGGCACGCAGCTCGCACCTCTTTCTTGCTCCATTCCCCTGCTCGCTTCTGTTGCTCCCTCCAGCGTCTCCGTCTGCGTAACCGTCTGCATCTCTTCGTCCGTCTCTTTGTCCCCCTCTCTCTTTTTTCCTCCATCCAGTTTTTGCTTCTTTCTCTGTCCTCGTCCCTGGCCGTGTCCCCGTCTAGCCAGTGTCTCTGTCTCTGTCTCTCCGTGCGCACTCCCTCGTCGTTGCCAGCTGCTTCTGCCACGCGTCCCTCGTGTCGAACAGTGAGGTGCAAATTTGGATTTGAGCTTCCTCGACCCGAAAGCGCCGGAGGACTACAACAAGCCCCCGGCTGATGCCGAGGAGGGGGGCATGGAAATGGTTACATGAGCTCGCGGATCGCGTAAAAATGGGGAAGCAGTTAGAGAGCCAGTGATAACCACACATTCCCTTTTTGATACATATCTCGGAGAGGGCATGAGCCCAGGGTTCTCTTTTAGTTGGTAAAGCTGTCCCAAGTTCCTCTACGTAGGGCCGGTGGACTAGTGTGCGATAAATAACGAGCTCGCGTAGGGCCGCTGGATTAAATTTTGAGGATATCCCGAGCGAAATTTTGGTTTTCGAAATTCCGATTGATGAAACATATGGTGAAGTTAATCTTTGACCGTCTTGAAGCTGTCCTCTCCACTGCTCGTGCAAACATCCCACCCTCCCACCCGCAACTTGGTCGCAAGACCTCTTAAGACAAGACCGTGACGGTACGTACCACATGACATTTGGCCACGACGCCGACGCCGACGACGACAGCGACAACGACGACGACGGCGCCGCCGACACCGACTACGACGACACCGACGTCGTCTCCAACGACTTCGACGACGACAGCGACGACACCGACGACGACGACGACGACGTCAACGACGCCGACGACGACGACGACGGCGACTACGACGACACCGACGACGTCTCCGACGACTTCGACGACGACAACGACGCCGACGCCGACGACGACGAAGACGACGACGACGTCGCCAACGAAGATGACGAGGGAGGAGGAAGGACGACGACGGCGACAACGACGACAACGACGACAACGACGAGGGAGGAGGGAGGACGGCGATGACGCGAACGACGAAGTAGGAGGAAGGACGGCGGCGCCGACGACGACAACGGCGAGGGAGGAGGGAAGACGACAACGACAACGGCGACGACGACGACATCCGTGTTGCGAAACCTGGTGTTTTTTTTAGGTTTTTGGACACACGAATTTGAAATCTTTCCGAAACCGATGGGTTTTGAAGGTTTTCGGCATACGCGCGCGACGACGCGCGCGTCTGAACTTCGTCCCATTTTTTGCAGAGGATTCTCGCGACGGCACACGCGCAAGGGCGTTCGACAAATTTCGACATGCGCGCGCGCGAAGCCCGTTTAATAGCATTTCGTGAAAATCTTGAAAAACCTATGGTTTTCTTAAGATTTCGCAAGAGCTCGCGCGGAATCTTTTTTAGCAAATCAGTGTTGCGAAACCCTGTGTTTTTGTATGTTTTTTGGAACCTCGATTGCGACATCCTTCCGGCACCGAAGGTTTTTGAAGGATTTCGGCATGCGCGCGCGACGACGCGCGCGTGTGCACATCGTCCCCTTTTTCTGCAAGGGATTTGCGAAAAAGTGTTATGCTAGAACAAAAAATATCACCGCATAGTGTTTTTTACAAGGGACCCTCAAGGGGGGGGGATACCGCCCCCCTGGGATAGTGTAAATTCATGTTTCGGATGGACATGTGGTCAGAATCATATATGATTTACCCGAAAGGGGTATTGATAACGCCGGGGGGGGGGGGGGTAGATCCTATTCTTTTTTTCTCAAGGAGAATGAACATTTTCGTTTGTTGCGGATGTCTCGAGCAAAACGTTTGTTTTGCAGAATGTGCTGAAGATTTTTCTAGGGAAACGCTTGCCTTGTTCCGATAGAATGCTATTCTCCTGAGGGCCAGGATTCAGAGGACCTCAGGCGAAATGCTTGTTTTCACATGCCCAGGTTGCCCAGGGGGATATCAAACCTTGTGTTCCCGAGCTGGAGCCTCCTGTTTTCGCGTGTCCAGGCCACCTAGGGGGGTATCTACCATGGTTGCCCCGAGCTGGAACCACATGTTTTTTTCGCCCACGGGGGGTATCTGACATGTGGTCGCCTGGGGGGCCCCAGGGTGTGGTGGGGGCCACAAGAGCCTGACAAAATCAAGCAAACGACACCAGATGCAATAACTTGATGCAGTTTCTTCGGCGGGTGATTTTGCAGATTTCCCCTTATGGGGTATCTAACATGGTAGTCCCGAGCTGGAACCAGGTGTTTTTACGAGGCCAGGTCAGTCAGTGGAGTATCTAGCATTGTGGTCCCGAGCTGGAGTCACGTGTTTTTTCGTGTCCAGGCCATCCAGGGGGGTATCTAACATGGCTGCCCCGAGCTGGAAGCATGTGTTTTTACGCTCACGGGGGGGGGGTATCTGACATGTGGTCGCCTGGGGGGCCTCAGGTTGGGGGGCCCGCAAGAGCCAGACACAATCAACATGCCGACACCAGATATGTCATACCATAACACAGTTTCTTCGGCGGGTGATTTTGCAGATTTCCCCTTTCTGGGGTATCTAACATGGTGGTCCCGAGCTGGAACCACGTGTTTTCAAAGGGTCAGGCCGCCCCGAGAGGTATCTAACCTGGTTGCCCCGAGCCAGAACCACGTGTCTTCACTTGTCCAGGCCACCCAGAGGGGGATATCGAGCATTGTGGTCCCGAGCTGGAACCACGTGTTTTCGTGTGTCCAGGCCACCCAGAAAGGGGATATCCAACGTTGTGGTCCCGAGCTGGAACCACGTGTTTTTACGTGTCCAGGCCGCTCATAGGGGCATCTGACAGGGTGGTCGCGAGCTGGAACCACGTGCTTTTCCGTATCCAGGCCGCCCAGAGGGGGGTATCCAAGATGGTTGCCTCTTGCCCCTCGCTGGATCTAGGTGTTTTCATGTGTCCAGGCCACCCAGAATGGGCATCTAACATGATGGCCCCATGGCCCCGAGCCGAAACCACGTATTTTCTTTTGCCCAGGCCACGCAGGGCGGGTATTTTACATGGGGTCGTCAGGGGGGCCCCCAGCGTGGGGGGCCCACAGGAACCAGGCAAAATCAGTGCACCGGCACCATATGTGTCATGACCTCACACAGTTTCTTCGGCGGGTGATTTTCCAGATTTCCCAGTTATAACATGGTGGTCCCGAGCAGGGGCCCCGTGTTTTCGCGTGTCCAGGCCACTCAGGTGGATATCTAATATGGTGGTCCCAAGCTGGAACCCCGTGTTTTCAGGTGTCCAGGCCACTGAGGTGGCTATTTAACATGGTGGTCTCGAGCTGGAGCCATGTGTTTTCACGTGTCCAGGCCACCCAGGGCGTTATCTAACATGGTTGCCCCGAGCTGGAACCACGTGCTTTCACGTGTCCAGGCCGCCCAGGGGGGTATCAAGCATGGTTGTCCCGAGCTGGAACCACGTCTTCACGCGTCCAGGCTACACGGAGATATTCAACATGTGGCCGTCTGGCACAACGCCTGAGCAAATTGTGAGGGCGCCTCGAGCGAGGGCTGCGGAACTGAATCGGATCTTGAGCTCGAGCTGGTCGAGCGCCTCGCGCGTTTCGATTGCAACTAGCCCGAGCTATGCGTTCAGACAGCTCGAACTTAAGATCCAAATCAGTTCGGTCAGGATTCTGACGTCAACGACGGCTTGACCCACAATGCAATAGCACACGGCACAGAACGCGACATGTCCCCTGGCGCGCCCCCTGGCACTTCCACTGGCACGCTGCGTGGCGCGTCCTTGGCACGTCACTATGCGGCGCGTCACAGCAGAGAGCAGCACACACAACACAGCCCTTGGCATAATATCATCACCATTGATATCTTCAGCATTGCCATTGCCCGTCGCCAAATTGATGTGTTTGGGAACGTTCCCATGCCTCGCAGTTCTAAATCCCTTGCTGGGACCCTGCGTACCCCCCCCCGAGACGGGATCCCCGGCGCCCAGGGCTCCTGGACGCCACCTCCGAGGGTCCCGCGAGATTTCTGGGCCTCTGGAAGTCCCTAGAAACCCGTGCAAACGGGTGGCGGCGGTCCCAAGAGACCTACAAGACGATCCCAGAAGGCCTTCAGCGGCCCTGGACACCCGCCAGACGCCCGAAGACGGCTCAAATATCACCCCCAAGAGGTCTTCGAAATGCAAAAGACGTTGATTTTCCATTGTTTCTGGAATGATTTTGGGCTACTCGGTTATTCGGTCTTCCAAACCGTGACCCCAGACCACGGTTCGCGGCATGGTGGCCCGAGGACCCCCCCAGAGGCCGCCAAAAGGTGCCAGAGACGTCTCCAGAGGCGCCCAAGGAGCCTCTGAAAAGCTTTCGCGAGGTCCTCCAGAAGCTCGCCTCGGAGGAGCCTCCGCAAACAAATCTAAGGAGGATGGGGAAGGGTTTGCGGTACAATGAAGGCCAGAACGAGGAAGAGGAAGAGGAAGGGGACATGTGAGGTAACGAGAAGGAACAACAATCTGGTAACGGTGATGGCGAAAACTGCAAAAACGATCGCTGTTTTGATTGATCTACCTCTCTTTTATTCTGCCTGCATGGTGAGGAACCAAGGTGCAGTGCATTGCGCGAAGCGCCAACGCAGTCTTGTATACATATTCCTCTTCACATAGTTTTACAAGCCCGGGCGGGGGGAAAACCCATCCCCCCCCAAAACGGGACTCCCGGGATCTGGGGCTTTGGGAACCTCCAGACGGGCCTCGAAGCGGCCCCCGGGCCTCGCAGGGCATTTTGCCAAGCCTTCCCAGCACACCTAGGGCGATCAGGGGGGTCATCGGAGACGTCCTAGAGACCCCCAAGACAGCACAAGAGCGCTCCAAGAGTGACCGACGTGACCTCAAGATGGCCCAAGAGGCCTCCAGGACGGCCCCAAAGAGGCCTCCAAGAGCACTCCCGAGAAGGCCCCCCGAGGCACAAATCATTGATTTTCTGTTGGTTTTTGGTGAAGTCTGCGGTTCTCCTCTATTCGGCTTCCGACGCTCCAAGACGGCGGTCTTCTGGGCGTTCGAAGCCGCCTGGGGGGCTCCCCAATCGCCTCACAACCATCCGAAAGGGCTTCCAGGCAGTCCAAGAGAGCCCCAAAACGGCACAACACGGGTCCAAGATGGCCCTCAGAGAGCCCCATGGCGGCCGCCCAATATGGCCCAAAGACACCCTCCGAAGCATTCCGAAGCGTGACCCGGTCGTTCAGGGAGACCGCGGTTGGAGGCAAGGTGGCCCAAGGAAGCCCCCGGAGGCCCCCAGAA